CCCCCCCCAGCGATCGATTATCGATTCAATGTACTTGTTTTTTCTTTATTCTCCCGCACTCTTTACAACCAGGCAAACTCCGTCGACAATAACCCTAGCCGGCGAATGCAATTCCCTTCTATCTGCATCTTTCTCTTGTTCACTTCCCCTCCAACGGACTTGTATACCTGATACCGGGGACTCTTATCTTTTTCGCACGTACGAACGCCACAAGAGTCTCGCCCTTATCTCCAGATGGCACTTTCATTGGTGTGAGTGAATGTAATGAATAAGAAATTTTAGAATTTTTCATTCTGTGGAAAAATGATTTTACGAGGGCTGAGGGAGGGAGTAAGTGAAATTTAAATGAAGGCGGAGATTGTCCCGTCACGAACTGGGTGACAGACACTTCGTGATGTTTTGTGTAATGGGGGGAGAAATGTCCACACGGAAAATTGTTTCAGTGTAACTGTGAGGACATAATTTTTGCCGGTTTGAATCAATAATTGAATCGGTTTGAATCAAGTCGGACTGAATTGTGCCGGGAATCGACTTATCCCGTTTCGAATCGTCGGCATTAATCAAGTCTGACTCGGAGATCAGATGGACTTGAATCAAACCGAAAAATCGACTTAAATCAAGCCGAAGTCGACCTGATTCAAGTCGATTTTTCGGTTTGATTCAAGTTGATTTTCGACCGCCGATGTACCTTGAATCAAGCCAAAAAATCGACCCAAATTAAGTCAAAGAATCGACTTGAATCAAGTCGAAAAATCGAAGTGAATCAGGTCGAAAAATCAACTTGACACGTTTCTCCTTGAAATAATCCACTTTCCTGCTTATATCATGTCCGAAATTCGGATTGATGGAGTCCGAGTCATTCGACTTTAATTAAGCTAAAAGTCGATTAGAATCACGCCGACGTTGACTTGAATCAGTACGTTTTTTTTAGACTGGATAATTCGGCCCGTTTGCACGAAAAACATTTGAAAAAATTATCATTTTCGAAAAATTGATTTTTCTGAACCCATTTTTTCCGTCAAAACTCGGAAACTGGCCTGTGGTTATAATTGAGTTCCAATTCAACGAAATTTGTGGAATCGAAAAGGAATATTCATTTTTTGTCTCACAGTTTTCCCCCCCTGCACTATTTCTAGGAAATCCTGGAGTATTGAGAACATTAATTCTGTAATTTTTTTTCAAGTGTCAAAGTGAACTCAAGTGAATGGATTCAAATGAATAAGTTTGATGCATTCGTGTCACAGAGTAGATGAAGGGAATGTTTTATGTTTTTTTAACGAACGGAAACACGAATCATCAGAATTTCATACGGAAACGGGAAAGTTAAACTCTTGAATAATTTCCTCCGCTCATTCAGTGTATGTGGGTATTCGACTAATAAAATCACGGAATGAAGATATTATTCCAATTAGCGTGGTTATTGGTGCCCTGAGACACATAAAATCCCCTAAGGGCAAGCTAAAGTTGTACTGCGAGATTTTTCAATTGAATATATTTTAATTGGCGTCTTTTCTCAACTCACTTCTAATTCTGAAAACACAGTTGCCCACACTTATTCATTTACGCGTAACTTCTACTTCCCGATCCAAAAGTGGGGAGTTTCCTAATCGTTGGAAACCCCTAACTCCTGAATGCCTGAATCCTTCCTAGTCGTGAATTCCGCAACTCCTAAATCCGCTGTATGACTTTGTTATTATTTCATTCTCCACACCATAATGCACAGTGGATAAATTGCCAATCAATCTCCCTCAGTTCCTCTCTCCCCCCTCCCCATCCTGAATTCCCTCAATCCCATATTCCTGAATTCCGAAAATCGTCCACCTCCATCCCCTGCTCCTGAAAAAACTCTGAAATTTGTTTGTCTCGTGGGTCTCGTCCAGTCCCTCCCCCCTTCCAGGCCCGAGCAAAGTCGTGAAACGCGGAGTGCATTCGAAGGAATCGTCGCACAAGTGAGGACGCGCGGAAAAAGGGCAGAACGAAGAGGTTACTGACTGATTCGCGTAGACGTAAACCCACACTCACTCATTTACGTGTAACTTCAAAAGTGTGGAGTTTCCTAATCTTTGAAAATTCCTTACTCCTGAATCCCTGAATCCTTCCTAGTCATGAATTCCGCAACTCCTAAATCAGCTGTCATTATTTCATTCTGTACACCATAATGTACAGTGGATAAATTGCCAATCAATCAGTCTCCCTCAATTCCTCCCTCCCCCCCCCCCCTGAATACCCTCAATCCCAAATTCCTGAATTCCGAAAATCATTCCGAAAATCATCAATGCATTTACGTGTAACTTCAAAAGTGTGGAGTTTCCTAATCTTTAGAAATTCCTCACTCCTGAATCCCCGAATCCTTCCTAGTCATGAATTCCGCAACTCCTAAATCAGCTGTCATTATTTCATTCTGTACACCATAATGTACAGTGGATAAATTGCCAATCAATCAATCTCTCTCAATTCCTCCCTTCCCCTCCCCATCCTGAATACCCTCAATCCCAAATTCCTGAATTCTGAAAATCATTCCGAAAATCATCAATGCATTTACGTGTAACTTCAAAAGTGTGGAGTTTCCTAATCTTTAGAAATTCCTCACTCCTGAATCCCCGAATCCTTCCTAGTCATGAATTCCGCAACTCCTAAATCAGCTGTCATTATTTCATTCTGTACACCATAATGTACAGTGGATAAATTGCCAATCAATCAATCTCTCTCAATTCCTCCCTCCCCCTCCCCATCCTGAATACCCTCAATCCCAAATTCCTGAATTCCGAAAATCGTCCACCTTCATCCCCGCTCCTAAAAAAACCCTGAAATTTGTTCGTCTCGTGGGTGTCGTCCAGTCCCTCCCCCCTTCCAGGCCCGAGCAAAGTCGTGAAACGCGGAGTGCATTCGAAGGAATCGTCGCACAAGTGAGGACGCGCGGAAAAAGGGCAGAACGAAGAGGGTACTGACTGATTCGCGTAGACGTAAACCCACACTCACTCATTTACGTGTAACTTCAAAAGTGTGGAGTTTCCTAATCTTTGAAAATTCCTCACTCCTGAATCCCTGAATCCTTCCTAGTCATGAATTCCGCAACTCCTAAATCAGCTGTCATTATTTCATTCTGTACACCATAATGTACAGTGGATAAATTGCCAATCAATCAGTCTCCCTCAATTCCTCCCTCCCCCCCCCCCCTGAATACCCTCAATCCCAAATTCCTGAATTCCGAAAATCATTCCGAAAATCATCAATGCATTTACGTGTAACTTCAAAAGTGTGGAGTTTCCTAATCTTTGAAAATTCCTCACTCCTGAATCCCTGAATCCTTCCTAGTCATGAATTCCGCAACTCCTAAATCAGCTGTCATTATTTCATTCTGTACACCATAATGTACAGTGGATAAATTGCCAATCAATCAGTCTCCCTCAATTCCTCCCTCCCCCCCCATCCTGAATACCCTCAATCCCAAATTCCTGAATTCCGAAAATCATTCCGAAAATCATCAATGCATTTACGTGTAACTTCAAAAGTGTGGAGTTTCCTAATCTTTAGAAATTCCTCACTCCTGAATCCCCGAATCCTTCCTAGTCATGAATTCCGCAACTCCTAAATCAGCTGTCATTATTTCATTCTGTACACCATAATGTACAGTGGATAAATTGCCAATCAATCAATCTCTCTCAATTCCTCTCTTCCCCTCCCCATCCTGAATACCCTCAATCCCAAATTCCTGAATTCCGAAAATCGTCCACCTCCATCCCCGCTCCTAAAAAAACCCTGAAATTTGTTCGTCTCGTGGGTGTCGTCCAGTCCCTCCCCCCTTCCAGGCCCGAGCAAAGTCGTGAAACGCGGAGTGCATTCGAAGGAATCGTCGCACAAGTGAGGACGCGCGGAAAAAGGGCAGAAAGAAGAGGGTACTGACTGATTCGCGTAGACGAAGAGCACGCTTGCGCGTAGCCCGGGCGGGCGCGGGCAGTGCCACTGGAGCCCGGCCTGTGTCAGAGCTTCGCCCGGGACGTCGGGACGACTAGCACCGCAAGCACACGGTTTTTAAAATCCTCAAGAAAAACCCCGCAAAAATCACCCCCAAATCCCCCGAAACATTTCCGAAGTAAAAAATCCCATTCCCGAGTAGTTAAAACCATCCGGCAGATTTTTCTCAGCCTCCGAGTGGTGATTGTAGTGTCACAGGATAACAAGTGACCGATGTCAACGCGTTACTCGCAAGGATTATGTGGTTGTTGAGTATCATGACGTGATGATACGAAGAAGAAAATACGAGTGCATTTTGTACATAATCACGGATGAAACGGATGTGTGAGTGGGGGATTGAGAATATAATGTGTCGGCATTGGTGTTATCACTGAGATGTTAGCCCAGCCATGGTCCTCGTCGTTACCATGAGGACACCCTCCTACGTCAACTATTACGTTTTGTGTCTTGTCTGTTGGATTCTCCTTGGAATAACCGGTAAGATTTTCCCACGATTCAGCGTCTTCCCGCAAGTGGATGATGTTTTTTCTTTTTTCGAAATTGCCAGGGGTGGGAATTGTGTGGGGCTTGGTGATAAGGAGTCCAGCTGTTTGGAGCCCATGGAAATGCGATTTAAATGGTGCAAAGTGGATTCGGGAATAACCGAGTGAGTGAGGTGAATGGCTCAGAAGAATTGGATTGTCGAATTTGTAACGGGTCACGAGGTGCATTATCGGGGGATCGATAGGGTCCATTTCAATTCCATTTCCAGAGCTCGCATTCCCTTTATTCATTTCGTATCGGTTGGGAGGGGTTTTCCATCGGTTTTTACGGGGTATCGGTCGGGTTAAGTTCGGGGTTGCGCCATTTTGTGGGCTGGGAGAGGGTCAATTGGACCAGGTGGGGTACATTGGGTTTATTTATTTGGGTCGGGAGGGGTTGAAGGATTTTTTCTTTCAAGAGTGGTGGGCGACTTTGCGTGGAGGGCGCGATTTTTGGGGGAGTTTTTCAGAGGTCGATCACTCTAAATATAGGGGGAGGGGGGGGGGCGAGTTTTGTGATGACCTTTTTGAGGGAAGAGTGAGTGCAGAAATGTTTCGTAACATATGGTGAAATGGATCGGGGAGTTTTGGTGGAACTGAAACTAGCGAAAAATTCAGTTTAGGGGACTTTTGAGGGTGCGAGACACGGAGAGAAATATTCAATAAAAATTACGTATCTTTACGGAACTGTCACGGAATTTTCCCAGAGCCTTCCGTAATTTTTATCTGAATCTCCTGTGAAAAATTATGATACCGTCACTTAAATTTTCTCAGTCGATTCCGCAATCGGTGAGGGAATTGTGAACTCTGTAATTTTTACTGAACATTTCTCTTCGCGGAGTCGATAAATCGTATGTACAGATAGTTTTAGAGTGCGAAAGAGTTTATACATGATTTTTAAATATGTGCACACCTCTAGATTCGGCCAAATTGAATCGGCCACTGGCGAATCATTTTGCGAATTGAAGAAATTAAATGACTCGTCAATGAAGAATTGTGCAGGAATTTCATGTGACTTTGTCGTTGTTAAAAATTTAAATCTTTTTCACTTGAAATTTGAAGAGTAATTTTGTAACAGTGCAGGTGGATCACATTGGGTTTATTTATTTGGGTCGTGAAGGGTTGAAATGATTTTTTTTAAGGCTCATGTGCGACGTTGCGGGGAGGAACTCGACTTTTGGGGGAATTTTTCAGAGGTCGATCACTCAAGTTGAATCGTCCACTGGCGAATCATTTCGCGGATTGAAGAAATTGAATGACTCGTCAATGAAGAATTGTGCAGGAATTTCATGTGACTTTGTCGTTGTTAAAAATTTAAATCTTTTTCACTTGAAATTTGAAGAGTAATTTTGTAACAGTGCAGGTGGATCACATTTGGGTTTATTTATTTGAAGGGTTGAAATTATTTTTTTAAGGCTCATGTGCGACGTTGCGGGGAGGAACTCGACTTTTGGGGGAATTTTTCAGAGGTCGATCACTCAAGTTGAATCGTCCACTGGCGAATCATTTCGCGGATTGAAGAAATTGAATGACTCGTCAATGAAGAAATGTGCAGAAATTTCATGTAACTTTGTCGTTGTTCGATTTTTGGGGGAATTTTTCAGAGGGCGATCATTGTAAATATGAGGGGGAGGGAGTAGTTTTGTGGTGACCCTTTTGAGAGAAGAGAGGGTGCAGAGATGTTTCATAGAATATGGTGAAGTGAAAATCGCGGATTTTTGGTGAACCTGAAACCGGCGAAAAACTCAATTTAGCAAATTTTTAAGGGTGTGCGAGTCGATAAATCGCCCGTGTAGATAGTTTTTGAGTGAGAAAACCTCTGTATATGATTTTTAAATATGTGCACACCCCTAGCTTCGCCCAAATTGAATTGTCCACCGGCGAATCTTTCGCTGTCACAATTGGGGATTTTTGGATTTGAGTATCTGCGGAGGTGAGGGAGAAATTCTTGAATGTAAATTTTTCTGGGCGATCCGGAGATATTCCCAAAAAATGAATGTGAAGTGGAGTGGAGTCTGTGGTATCGTGGACGAAATTGGGGATGAGTTTATTAAAGATTAATATCTCTGATCTAATGGGAACAGTGAAATTTTTCTGAGAGACTTTTTTCGTTGTGGTTTTTTATGCAAGAAAAATGTGAAAATTTCTGTATTAATCCTAGAGGCTGAGGTATTCTCCAAAAATTAATCGAATAAAAAACTTGAAATCAGGAGGAAAAATTGTGAAAAAGTAGGATATCCCAGTATCATTTACAGATCGGTACAAATCACACTATAACTTCAACCATTTTTAATCAGCAAATTCGTCAATTAAATTGCGAGAGAAAATCGGAGACAATCGAGAATATTCATGGATACTCAAATTACATTTTGCGCAGACTTATTTTTTTCGTTGTTTATTAATAAATAATTATGAAGCTGAAACTAGCAGAATATTCATCAGCGGAAAATTCAATTCAGGGGATAAAACTATTTAAGTGTAGGAGAGTCAAATAATCATATGTACAAATGTTTTTTAAGTGCGAAAGAGTTTGTACATTACTTAAAAATATTTGTACACCCCTAGATTTGCCTAAGACAAATCTTCTGCTGTAGAATCTTTCTCTAGTTTCAGCTTCATTAAATAATTGAAATTGTCCACAGTTTCGGAAACCTTCGGAAATCTGTTTAGGCATGAAACCGATTTCTGGTAAAATTCTGAATGAATAAATTTGTTACGATTCCGATCAAATGATTTTGTTGAATTCAAAAAATTCATCACATACGGAATTTATCAATCTACAACGGATTCGTTTTTTAAGAACATCGTAAGATCCGTTTTATCATAAGATGGAAAAATCGAATTCGGGGGCACCCATAACCCCCGTTTAACCAATGCCTCGCGTGCTGGGGAATATTATAAACATTATTTATGCACTGTTAGAAATTTTTTGAAATTTCATGGAAGATATTACAGTAAATCTCATGAGAGTGAAATTGAATCGCATTTAGGGAAAAAACAGTTATGAAATTTCAAATTTTAAGTAGAATTCACGGAAATTCGTGAGCTTTTAGTGGAACATGAATATTCAGAAACAAAATGACACGAATTTTCAATTATTCACTGAATTTTCACAGAATAATTGAACTGAAAAATCGAGTATTTTATTGGTTTCCAGATCATTTGACCAGAAAATCAATGGAATATTTGCTTTTTCAATGACAAGATTTCCTGAAATTTCATTGGAACTTGAACACGATAAAAATGTCCGGAATTAGACACGGAAAATTCAGACGAAAATTTGTAACACCCTGAAAAACATTAGGACAATCGTAAGAAAAACCGAATTTCTTGGGATATGCCTTAATAACGCCATCACAAGCCCCAATAAATATCAAAATGGCCGCAAGACCCCCTAATCAATTATCTCCCTGACAACCCATTCCCCAAAACCTCAAGTCATTCAAAAAGAAAAAACCCGATAGCCATCAGGAAAGCCCAGACATTCGGCTACAACAATGTAAACTTCCCCCTAACCTTTTTTCACTCTCAACATTAATCTGATACCACAGGCCTTTCCCGGTTACCAGCCAAAACAAAAGGAACTACACAGTGTCACGGGAGTCGTGTTCTGCCTCATTCGCCAAATGGAAACACGAATGAAGAAAGATGGAGAGGGGTGCAATCACTTGACGGATCCGGGTCACTGGAATTATTGAAAAAAAAAAAACGGAAAGAATTGATCTTGGACGAAATCAGTTGTTTGCCCTCCGGAAACACCAGTGGTTGATTTTCAAGATGGGCGCGGGGGTGTGGAGAGGGGCTGGAGGGCTGATCGGGCAACCCAATGCAGGGAAAGGAGTGTGGAATGATCAGTTGCACCTCTGGCGTCGGTTTCACTCTGGCACCTCACCTCGCCGATTGCTTTTCGTTTTGCGATTCAATCCCTCCCGATGGAGTGCCGATGGCACTGACGGCGAAACGTTTGACCCACACTGAGAGAAAAACGACAAAGTTCTCAAACAAGTCTTACTTGTTCCGAGAAAATAGTTTTTTGAAAATTATCAAAAAAGGATTTTTTGGGCCAAACATGCAGAGAGTTCGCCGGAATGAAAAATTTTTGTCGTAAAAATATATTTAGTAGTTCAAAAAAAATTGCATTCTCTGTAGACGCAAGAAATGTCATTTCTAGCACTACTCCTTCGTTATTCGATACCCCCGTACGTATTTTGCTCCCGAAAAATTTTTTCGTTTCGGCTGTCTGATAATCCCAGACAACAAATGAACCCTTAAATGAAACAATAATAATGATATGATAGCAATCTTGTACACTGAGAGAAAAATATAATTCAGTAGCGAAGTGGTAAACCGGGTTAAGTCAATTTTGACTATTGGCCAGTTTTTGGCGAATATCTCGGAATCTAAAAGAGATAGAAAAATTGTTGTCATTAACTTTTTTGTAGAGCCAATTGAGGGTTATAAAAAATATTGTGAAGAAAATTTTGCTATCTCTCTTAGATTCCGAGATATTCATCAAAAACTGACTAAAAGTCAAAATCGACCCGGTTTACCGCTTCGCTACTGAATTCTTCTGACTATATTCCATCACCATCGAATTATAGTCAAAAAGTCGTCAACAATTTTTCATGGGTTACGGTAACTATGGCCGGAGAAGTAATTACTACAGTGGAATGTAGGCATTGCAACTATTTTATAGTTCTCCTCACGATAGATTTGTCGTGGTTACTTTTGAACTTTGGTTAGTTTAACTGCATTTTGATTTGCAAAAATTACGCTTGTGAAGTTCCTATAATGTGATGTGCCGCATACAAAAAAAAATCGTATCGTTCACCAAAATGGCTCAACTATTTTCTTATTGTAAATCGAAAGATTTTTCTCTCAGTGTAACTTAGGGATAAAATATAAGTTGATAAATTTTCCTCTGTGTGAGGTATTTTCATCCTGAAAAGGCACCGT